AATCGGATTAGACCATTAGCATCTCGCTTAAAACTGACTGAAAAAGTTTAGATAATTTTTCTAATTATAGCTTGACTATTCTGTTGTTACATCGTTTACTAAAACCGACAGAAAAGTTGGTATTTTCAAGACATGTCTATGAACTATACTCTCGTAAATATGGGCCATTCTTTAGTTTTATTTTTTTATTTTTTATTTTTTTAAAATGGGTCCCACATTATATTAAGTTACCTTAAAGCAACACTCTACATTTTGTTTTAGAAATAGGCTCAATTTACAACTACCCTGTACTGTTAAACATTTAAGTTTTACCATTTTTGAGTCCATTCAGCTGATTTCTCTGTCTGGCGGAAGCCGTTTTAGCTTAGCTTAGCATAGATCATTGAATCAGATTAGACCATTAGCATCTCGCTCAAAAATGACCAGAGAGTTCAGATAGCTTGACTATTCTGTTGTTACATCATGCACTACTGAAAGAAGTTGCTATTTTCTAGACATGTCTATGAACTATACTCTCGTAAATACGACTCATTCTTCATCTTTTTTTAAAATTAAATGGGTCCCACATTATATTAAGTGGCCTAAAGGAATTCTCCACTTTTTGTTTTGGAAATAATATTTTACAGCAATTTTATAGAGTTAAACAACTGTGTTTTATCATTTTCTAATCCATTCAGCCGGTTTTTCTTTCTGGTGTTAGCACTTTTAGCTTAGCTTAGCATAGATCCTTTAATCGGATTAGACCATTAGCATCTCGCTTAAAACTGACTGAAAAAGTTTAGATAATTTTTCTAATTATAGCTTGACTATTCTGTTGTTACATCGTTTACTAAAACCGACAGAAAAGTTGGTATTTTCAAGACATGTCTATGAACTATACTCTCGTAAATATGGGCCATTCTTTAGTTTTATTTTTTTATTTTTTATTTTTTTAAAATGGGTCCCACATTATATTAAGTTACCTTAAAGCAACACTCTACATTTTGTTTTAGAAATAGGCTCAATTTACAACTACCCTGTACTGTTAAACATTTAAGTTTTACCATTTTTGAGTCCATTCAGCTGATTTCTCTGTCTGGCGGAAGCCGTTTTAGCTTAGCTTAGCATAGATCATTGAATCAGATTAGACCATTAGCATCTCGCTCAAAAATGACCAGAGAGTTCAGATAGCTTGACTATTCTGTTGTTACATCATGCACTACTGAAAGAAGTTGCTATTTTCTAGACATGTCTATGAACTATACTCTCGTAAATACGACTCATTCTTCATCTTTTTTTAAAATTAAATGGGTCCCACATTATATTAAGTGGCCTAAAGGAATTCTCCACTTTTTGTTTTGGAAATAATATTTTACAGCAATTTTATAGAGTTAAACAACTGTGTTTTATCATTTTCTAATCCATTCAGCCGGTTTTTCTTTCTGGTGTTAGCACTTTTAACTTAGCTTAGCATAGATCAATTAATTGGATTAGACCATTAGAATCTCGCTTAAAAATGATATATATATATATATATATATATATATATATATATATATATATATATATATATGACTCCACTGTTGTTACATCATGTACTAAGACTGACAGAAAGCATTTAAAATTAACATGCAATAAATCTAGAATATATTATTAGTTTATTCTCTTCATTCATTCATTTATTTATTTATTTATTTATTTATTTATTTATTTATTTATTTATTTATTTATTTATTTATAGCACAAAGAATAAAAAATCCAATGTTTTCACTGAGCAAATAAATTAAATATTACCAAATTTTGATTGCCACAATGCCAACAGCGTCAGTTTAATAAGTTTTCTGTTAAATATATAGTAGTGTATTCATGTTTTCGCTCCTCAGGTGACTGGTCATTACACAGTTTGAAAAGTCTTTTGGTCTGTGAAAAGACAATTTCAGCAAGTGAAGTGGTCTTTTGTAAAGCATCCCTTAAAGCAAAAAATGTCCCCGTCTTTTTGATCTATCTCTTAGCGAATGAACCTCCGACTGCATTCTGACATGACCTTTTCCTTCCTCTGTGCTCTTCTAGCAGATAGAGCAATACAGCCTTTCAGGTTTTCCAAATTTCCCTGCTCGTATTTGTAAATGAAATGCTCAGAGGTCATATTTTGTGTGACTTTTTGATATTATAAAGGTTAGAAGTGTCATATTGGCCCACTTCAGCATTAACGAACTGGACTCCGGTGCCAATGTGAATAAAGCGTAATGTAACTTCTGTTAAAAGCACAAACGACTAGGCTTCTTAATTTTCAGCATGAGCAACTTACTTGCATAAAAGCAAGTACACTCAAAAAAATCAATACTGCTGCCTGTTCAAATTTCTTTGGTCAATTTATTTGTTTCATGTTTAGTCCACTCAAATTTGTAAAACATTAAGTGAAGTTTATTTAATAAACTTTACTTAGTTTATTAGAATAATTTCAAGAGGATCACGTGCTTATGCAGCCGGCATTGCATTATTCAATTCATATTTTACCAATCAGACAACTCCTAAACTACATTCATTTCATTTCATTTTCTTGTCGGCTTAGTCCCTTTATTAATCCGGGGTCGCCACAGCGGAATGAACCACCAACTTATCCAGCAAGTTTTTACGCAGCGGATGCCCTTCCAGCCACAACCCATCTCTGGGAAATCCTAAACTCCTATAAATACCCATATAAGTTCCATACAACAGTCATCTTTGTTTTAAAGAATCCCCCCTTCCACCCCTACTCCTCCTCCTTTCCTATATGGGTGGCACGGTGGCCCAGTGGTTAGCACTGTTGCCTCACAGCAAGAACGTCTCTGGTTCGATTCCTTACTAAGCCAGCCGACGTTTCTGTGCGGAGTTTACACGTTCTCCCCGTGCTCAGGTGGGTTTCCCCCGGGTTCCCCGGTTTCCTCCCACCATTCAAAAACATGCAGCTTAAGTTAACTAACTAATCCAAATCAGCACCACAGACATGCTCCTAGTAAGTAGTTATCTCTTAAGAGCGATCACTATCTGTTCATTAGCTACTACAGCAGGGGAGATCTACCTGAGCACAAACTCCCCTCTCGCCTTGCAAACAGGAGGGAGCCCCAGGCTCGAGGATCTTATGAGCTCAGGGCTCTCCCCGGACAACATCAGCTAAGTGTGAACTCTTGAAGTTAACTTAAGTGTGTTGTGTTGGGACAACATGAAGGAGTTGTGTTGGTCCAACTATCTGCATTTGTAGTTCTCAGCTTGCTTGGCAAGGGATTGAATTAAGAGAGGGAAATGTTGATGTGACGGGTGTTAATAAGATTATTAATTTAATGCATTTCACTAATAGTCCCTCCTTTTAATTTTCGTGCATTTGTTTTGCATCAATTTGTATAGACATATGTGAGAATTTAGTTTTTACTTTATTTGTGTTTAATGAAAATAGTTTTATATTTGTTTTGCGCGCTACGTCACTTCCGGTTGCCGCGCAACGTCACTTCCGGTTGCCGCGCTGGGTTCTCAGTAGTGGTGGGCAAAGCGAGGCTTCGTGAAACACTAGCTGCGTCCCAAATAGCACACTATACACTATGCACTCATGCACTATGTACTTATGCACTTACACACTCAACAGGATAGTATATGTATGTAGTGTCGTCCCAAATGGCACACTAATGTGTTTTTACTAAGCGAAAATTCAAGCCGTTTCCCTGATGACGTTTGACGGTCGCCAAATCAGTGAAATAAACGACCGAATTATCAGATAATACCTGCCGTGAGTATTGCCGCATTCACCATCGGGAGGCGCTAAAATCACTGTAGTAGGAGAATTTTGCTTTCACCATCCAAAATAAATAAAGTTATTCAACATGTGCGCCCGATAGCTCCGCCCCTTCCACTACGTAAGCAAACCTGCGGTTGTTGAGTGCGTGAAGTGTCCATCATTCCACACTTCATTTAGCGGCTGAATGAGTGCATCATCCAGGTAATTAAAGTGCACTTATTATTTTTAGAGTTTTCAGTGTGAACACACTACTTACACTATTTATACTACAAAATGGCGTAGAATAGTGCATAAGTATGCGATTTGGGACGCAGCTACTGAAACAGTCGAAGCAAATGTGTCGAAGCTTCGAAACGTTTCGAAACCCCACTCTACAGTGACACCTAGTGGTAATTTTTTATGTATTGCACTGAAACAGTTTCAGCAAAGAACGATTGAACAAATTGAGGGATTAAACCCAACTTTGTACATGAATTCCTTCAAGTGACTTAGTACAGTGGTTAAGGTGTCAGACTTCGATGCAGGGTTAGTAGGTTTTGAAGCCAGTTTGTTGCAGTTGTTTTGAAATGCTTTAATACCAGTTGGTAATGCTTTGCTCTTGTATCGTTTTGTTTCAACATTGGTCTGATATCCAAATAAACAATTTGTGAATAAATATGTCTTGTTTTTGTCTTAAAACAGGGTTGTTGCTAGATCAAAAACGGTGGCCTGAAGTTATCAAGAATTATTTATATTATTCATTAAATTTCCCATTTATTGTATTTTATTAATGTCTACCCTAACCCTAAACCCAACCATACTGTAAAAATATTTATTATTGTTTTACAGTGTTACAAAAATGATGCTAAATTGATGGCGTATCTGTAGCTGTATCCTATTTAGGCTACACAAAACAGAAACATGATTAAAATACATAAAACCATGATTTCAGAGTATTTGTACAAGTCGGGATTCGAACCCAAAACATCATGCTAAGCAAAGAATCAATTAGCAAACCTACAGTCCTCTAAGCCATATGAGACAGAGGTAGCTTGGATACCTTGGCAGTCAAATTAGGATTCGACAGGTCTCGAAACGTTTCTATGCTGAACGATGCTTTGAATCGCTTTAGTCACGTGACTAGGTGTTTCGAAACACTTTAGTCACGTGACTTTGGTGCTTCGGATCATGCTTCGGTGCAGTGTTTCGAAACACTTGCGCTTCGGGATCTCGACACTGTGTCGAAACATCAGTTTCACGTCAGCCATCCCTAGTTCTCAGACCGCATTGAGCGCGCTGAGGAGAGGTGAGCTTTTAATGGTGCTCCAAGGAAAATCGTTCTAAAAGTTGTCAGAACTTTAAATAAGCTTTAAATATGCGATTGTATTGTTTGTAAGAGTGTTCTATATTAATTAGGAAGTACTTTTCTTAATGTGGATGGATAAAATTAATCACTTTACTGAGCACAGTTGATTGAGTATGTGTGTATAAGTGTGTACTGGTCACAGTGATTTCGAATGACCTTCTAACACTTTGTAACTGCTGTTTATTTGTTAGGTGGGGAAATTTACAAACGAAATCATATCAACTTACTGTGCTGTTTTCTGATTCATCCAGGTATTGTTTTATGTACATTTATTCTTATTTGTGTTTACATTTGTTTCGCAATTACATTAATTTCTAATATAAAGTTAGATAAGGCAAGGCAAGTTTATTTATATAGCACATTTCATACACAATGGCAATTCAAAGTGCTTTACATAAACAAGAATAAAAGAAACAAGTAAAATAAAAATAAAAACAAATAATAAAAATGCATAAAAACAAAACAAAACATAAAAACAGGTAAAATGTGATATGAAAGAATGAAGAAGAAGAGAAAAACATGATAGTGCAATCTGTCGGACAGATAGGGGAAGATTTATTAATATCACAATGTATGGAACTGTAATCATTTGTTATTTTTATTTATGTACTTTTTGTACACTTTTGTGATCTGTTTACCCAGTTTTAATTAGGTATGATGTTATTGTTATGTTTGCTGAGACCGCATTGAACGCGCTGAGGAGAGGTGGGGAAATTTACAAACGAAATCATATCAACTTACTGTGCTGTTTTCTGATTCATCCAGTTTGCTCTGATCTGACGCTAGAGCGACAATAAACCCACCATCAGCAGTACCAGTGGCCTGTCTCATTATTGTACACAACGCAGAGAGTGCGAACACCGGTTACATTGACAATAAAAGTACGTGTTTAAGTGTCTAATTGTATTTTATTAATAATTACCCCTACCCCAACCCTAAACAAAACCGTTACAGTAATTTAAAAACAGATCTGTATCTGGAGTCTTCTCTATTAGTATAGCTGATTAACTACGAATAATATATATATATATATATATATATATATATATATATATATATATATATATATATATATATATATATATATATAATGTATTAAATTTCCCAATTATTATACTTTATTGACGTCTACCCCTACCACAAACTAAAACAAAACCGTCATAGTAATGTGAATTCAGATCTGGATCTGGAGTCTTCTCAATTAGTATTGCTGATTAACCTTGTGTATAGATGATAACAGCCTTCTGAGCCTACTAGTACAGAAGGCCCCTACTGGCCCATACCGATCAGCTAATAATGCCCATTTAATTGAGTTATAGCATTCGAAGCAGGTAAAAAACCCTCAAATTCCACTTAATATCAATGATGTAACACATTTTAATAATATTGCAGTATTTTGTAATATTCTTTAAACATATTTACAGTAAAAGTAGGCTATTTTGCCAGAGTATACTTATCTTTAGCAAGAGAAGCGACAAACATTAATGCCAAATCTCACATCAGAATAAACAACAACAGAAAGCCTGTAAATGTGTGTCTGCCAGCTTGAGATCCTCCATCCAGGAATATTTATGGAGGCAAACAGTCTATCAATAAGAAGAAACAAACTAAAGAATAAATGATGCTCGAGCCCATGCATTGCACAGCCCAAAGCAGTCACTACAAAACACACGCTGCTAAAATGCAACTCAGCGTTATCTAACGCTGGACTTCTCCGAGCTTCAAAAGAGGCGATTGTTTCACTCAAATAAACACATTGAATATATCACGCGCTCTCGCTGCAGATTGAAATAAATCTTCTGAATCTGATTTTTTTTTTTGCTTCTCCTTTTTTTCAAAAGCAATTTCTTAGCTCAGAGAAGAGCTGCCTTTCATAAATTCTTCTGTGAGACCGCATAAATCTCCCTTACCGATAACGTCAGAAAAGAGCGAGAGTGTGTGTTTGTTATTTTATTCTGTCCATATGTGTGTGTGTGTGTTGGTACCGACTCGTAAATCCAATGTTTTTTTTTTGAGATGCTACGATCTAAAGCTGTATTTATGCACTTGTCATTTGGTGTCAGTGGGTTTCCTATGAGGCGTGTGGAAGAAATCAAGTGCGCCGCTTTTTTGTGGGCGACTGAAAGCAAGCTCATTTGAGTGATTGCGGTGTGAAAATATGATGTGTGTGTCGATTCATTGACGGAATTGATGGATTTGGCTGTAGGTATATTAGTGTTGATTGTTTGTGTGTGTGCGTGTGTGTGTGTGTGTGTGCGTGTGTGTGTGTGTGTGCTGTAAAATTTGCTGGGTTCCAGACAATCCCTTCATTTCCCCTCAACACAAATCGAGTAATAATTGTTTTGCAATTTTAAGTGGATTGAACTTAAAACAGTTGTTTGAACTTACGTTGTCCCTAAAAACTCAACAAAAATGTGTCGTTTCAACTCATTTTTTTTAACAAGTAGCTTAAACAAGTGTGTTTTGGTGCACTGTAAAAAGTGATTAGTTACTTTAAGCGAGTAAACCAATTGCCTTAAAAGAAACAAGTTGTATATATATCATGCACACATGACAACAACAACAATAGTAATAAAAACTAAGTAATGATAGTAATAAATAAAATTACAAAATAAATAAATGAGTTAATTATTAATAATAACTTTTTTTAAAAATAGTATAATAAAATTAATATATAATTATATATATATATATATATATATATATATATATATATATATATATATATATATATATCTATATTTAAAAAGTAAAATTATATAATAATAAAATAAATAAACAAATAAATAAACAACATGAAATAATAAAATAAATAATTAGTTAATAATACAAAATAGGACTAAGTCGAAAAGAAAATGAACGAAGGAATGACTAATACAAATATGATAGTAATAATAATAAAAATATTAATAATACATACACACACACACACACATATATATATA